GCGCTCGCGCAGAAACTCTCACAGCAGCCCCGGTCCTGCCGAGCGACAGGCCTGGGAGGGGAGATGGAAGCAGGGGCCGGCAGCCCCTCGGTGCTCTTGTACTTCTTCCACACAGTCAGGACTCACTGCTGTTGGCAGGTTCTTCTGGGCAGCAACTTCCCTTTAACTCTGGAGAGTTGCTGGGAAGTCGGAGGCAGGAGGGGCTGGATCTGCGCTGGCCGGGAGCTCAGGAACTGGGGACTTGGTCATGGGCTTTTGAGGTGACCAGGCCTGAGGAGAGGGGTATCTGCAGCTGGAGAGAGTGGGCCCTTTCCCACAGCTTCCTCTTTGGAGGAGGCTTCTCTGCCCACCCTACAGCTTTCCACTGGGGTTTTGCTGCTCCCAGTCGCTGAAGAACTTCCCCTCTTTATTCCCCAGGGCCCTGTCCATCTTCCTCAGGGCAGTAGGGACCGCATGGCCGGAATGATAGTGGTAATAAATATATCAGTGGTGCACTTTTCCTGGGTACCTGTTCAGTGCCAGGTGTAGTGTCCCGTGTGATCTCTTTTAATCATAATACTTCAAATGAAGAGAGCAAATGTTTATACAGCTAAGTATTTCAGAAAACACCAACTTGGTGATCTTGCCATAACCTCTGAGGGAGGTACTACCATTGTCCCCATTTTATAGATGAGGAAACTGAGGCACAAACCCATGAAATAACTTGTGTTAAGTCACTAAGCTTGTAAGCGGTGGGGCTGGGATTTGAAAGCTGGAAGCCTGGCTCTGGAACCTGTGCTAATAACTGCTAAGCAGTGTTGCCATTGTTTTTGTACATTAAGTAATTTTCTAAGGGTTGATCCAGCTACTGAGTAGTGGAGCTGGCATTTGAGCCAGTATAGATCAGAGTCTGAGGAGGGACTTGGATGACAGAGGGCAGAAATCCATCCATTGTCCCCTGGCTGTAAGTTCTGCCAGGCTTCCAGTGAACTTGAAATCAGCCCTGTGGGAAATGCACTTTTTCCCAGTTGTCACTGTCTTGGCTGGGATAACAGGAAGTTTTACTGAGATCATGGGGCCAGGCCAGCTCTCATTGTCAGCCTAGAGTAGCCGGCAGCAAGGGAACGCCAAGGCCCTTTCTCCCCCAGGCTCCTCATGGCAGGTGCTGTCGGAGTGGGTGTGGCCAGAGATTGGCTCTTTTGGAGGTAATCAAGGACCTTCCCCTGTCTCCAGGAGCACTCAGGAGCCTTGAGAGCTGGAGTTTGGGATTCTTTTGAGTCTGCCTTCGCTGTCTGCCTTCGCTGCCTTGGTGGCACTCACCATGTACCTTGCCACTCATTTTCTAAGTGCTTCACCTGTGACTCCTTGTCATGATCCTGCCAGACCCACTTTGTACATACGTCCCACTTCCTAACCATTGCACTTTTCGATCTCTCCATTTTGGGTAAAGCCGAACCTCAGTGGTCACCTGGTACCACATTTCATTTTGCAGAGAAGAAAACTCACATGCAAAATATTTACTAAAAGCAAAGCTGTAGTCCAGAGTGGTGACAAAGGGTTGTCTTTGAAGCTAGATTTCCTAGGTTCAAATTCCAGCTCTGCAAGCTTGCACAAGTTGCTTAGCCTATGACTGTTATTTATAAAATGACAATAAACAGACTATGAGGATCAATTGAGAAAATGAATCTGAAGGGTATGGAACAGGACTTGGAGTGGAGTACCCAGCAGATGTCAGCCTCTATCATTGGGCGAGGTGGTAATTTTGTCCTAGATACAAACCTTTTTGAGGTGATGGGCTTAGCAAGAATGAATCACCCATGGGCTAGTGCTTAGTGCTCAGCAGACACTGGCTCCTGGTTCCATGGATTTTTAAGCAGTACCTGGCTTCCTAAAGTGAGTGAGTATAGTTTCTTCAGGCTGAGAAGAAGTGTGGGGCATAGAGCTACCAGTATAGTCTTGGCCAGTTCAGAAGTAAAGAACTCTGGCTGTGCCCACCCCTGTGTCCCTGTGAGGCTATTACCTTGTTTCTGCTAGAAATAAGGCTTCACACTGAGTAGGTTGTGTACTATTTAGCTACATGGATGTCTTTTTAGGCTATTTTCAGTGCTGTTAGTTCTTTTTATGACATTATCCAAATGCAGTCAATGAGGTTAGACCCTTAACTCTTATCCACAGGAATTTAAGATTCACTTACAAGCATAGCAGCTATGTCATTTGTGGGAACCAGTGCAAAATGAAAATGTGAGGCCCCTTGATAAAAAAAAAAAAGAAAAAAAAAAGAAAAGAAAAATTGGGCGGCGCCTGTGGCTCAAGGAGTAGGGTGTCGGCCCCATATACCAGGGGTGGCAGGTTCAAACCCATCCCCGGCCAAAAAAAAAAGAAAAATTACTAAGATTTCAAGGAAACAACAGCAGAGACTAAACCAAGTGTGGACCCCTGTGTGTCTGCGGGTCGTGGGCCCATGAAGCTCACCCTGGTAGGAGGACAGTGTGCATGGCCCTTTCTAGTGCCCCACTACCCTACCTCTCAGGGCATACAAAGTAACTATTAGCTGTACTTTAACAGTGTTTCCTCATTTGTGCTCACCAAAGGAGGTATCATTTTCCTATTTTTCAGATGAGGAAACTAAAGTTCTGAGGGCATCACATTTATTAGAACCAAGTTTCCTGCCTAGCTCTGCTGGATACCAGCCCCCAACTCTCCACCCAGCCCCACTAAACCACTGCTTTTGTGTCTCATTGTGTACCTCAGCTCCCTGGAAAGGCCCAGAACCAGGGCATCCCGGCACCCAGCCCATGTGGGGTGCCCAGGACTACCAAGTAACAGAGCACGTGCTTGGCAAAGGAGTGGGGTTCACTGCAGCAGGATCCTGTCCCTGTTCACTGCATCAGTGTCTTGGGGTGGAGAATCCTCTGCTGAGGCTCATGTGCAGGTGGGGGTAGCTGTCTGGGCCACGGTGGGGTTCAGTTCACCAGGGGACACTGATCTTTCCATTTCCGGCTTGTTCTTTTCCTCCTGCCTCAGGACCTTTGCACAGGTCAGACACTGGTCTATGAAGGTCACTCCTCACTGCTGCCCTGAATTGTATTTTATTAACTCCAACTGGGTCTTCAGGTCATGGTCACATCCTATAGCCCCTTCTCTGGACTCCAAGTCTAGACTGAGATCTTGCCATGATTTTCTTAAGCCCTGTACTTTTTCTTTTATAGTGTACGGGCACTATTGTTACATTCTCCTATGTCTTTTTCCCAGTGAAAGGCTGTCTTAGCCACCCGATTCCCAGCTCCCCAAGGCCAGGAATGTTGTCCTTTTTACACAGTACCTACCACATAGCTGGAGAAAGCAGGAACTCTGAGTGGGAAGGTTGAATGTTGGGGGAAGGCGTCTACCTTCACTTCAGTTCCCTACAATGCAGGGTCACAAAGCAAGAAGTTAAATTCTTCCTTGGGCCAGAGTGACTTTGATAATACTCCCTTCCTAGACTGGAAGGGAGCATCTACTCTCCCTGAGCTGCTTGATTTTTTACCTAGTGGAGGAGGGGTAAGTGACCCCATCCTGGCTTGTCTAGGAGCTGATGTGACCATGTCTTCTCAGGCCCTATGTATGCTCTATTGTTCAGACTGAGATCCAGATGGGAAGGGCTTGGGCTTGTCACCTGCCTCTGGATGTTGTTGTGCCTCCTTCCCACAGTCCTGACTCCCACTAGTGTTTCCTCTCCGAGGCTTGTGGGGCAGGGCAGATGTCTGACCCCAGCTCCACACCCCAGTATTGAGATAAACATCCACTGGCTGACACTAGCCAGGGCCTGGTCCTCTGCCTGTGCTCCTTCCCCTCCCTCTAGACTTGTCCCTCTCACAGTTGGTTTGAGTGAGTATGAATGCCACCTTTGCTGGTTTAAAGCAGCCATCTCTGGTGTCAGGGGAGAAGGCTCGTCCCAAGCATGGGGACCCTATAACCTGAAGTCCCGGTGACATCACCTACCCCGCTGTGCTGAAGGTGGGCATGAATGTATCTGAGCTGGTTGGCAGCTGGAGGGCTGACAGGAGCCTTCCCTTGAACAGTGTTATATCAGTTTGTTCCAGCTGCTATGACAAAGTACCTCTGG